TCCAGGTCTGTGGGACTTGAACCTGGGACCCTTCAGTATGCAGCTGGCACTATCCACTGAGCCAAACTAGTTGGGGCTAAACTATCCTCATTTTAAAATTCTTGTTTCTTTTTCATATTCCAATTGGATGTTTCCCCTACCTGTCTTCCAAATCACTAATTTTATTCTCTGCTTCATCTAATCTAGTGTTGATGCTATCTAATGTATTCTTCATTCAGTTACTGTATTCTTCATTTCTGACTTGTTCTTTTTATGATTCCTATCTCTTTGTGTAAGTTTGTATTGATTTAATCTATTTTCCCCTAAATTAATTGAGTATCCTTATAATCAGTGTTCTGAAATGTGTATCTGATAGGTTGTTTGCCTCCATTTTGTTTAACTCTTCTTGGAGTTTTGTCCTGTTCTTTTATTTGGGACTTGTTTCTTTATTCCCTCAGTTTGGCTATCTCTCTGTGTTTGTTTCCATGTATTAGGTAGATCTGCTACATCTCCCAGGCTTGTAGAGTGGCCTTATGTAGTAGGGGTCTTGTGGGGTCTCGTGCAGACTCCTTGGTCACCTGGGTTAAGTGCTCCAGGAGTGTCCCTTGTGTGGGTTGTGTGTGCCCTCGTATTGTAGTTGAGCCTTGATTGCTGTTGGAATGGCAATGGGATTAACCCTCAGTCTGCCTGACAGTGAGGACTGGCTGTTACTATGGATGAGCTATTCTTCCCGGGGCTGACCCCACAGAACTGCATTCACTTTACATGGGCACTGGTGCCTGCTGAGTCCACCTTTTGGGTGTGTCATTTGTGGAGCTGATTGGGGCGTGCTCTGGTGTGGTCTGAAGCCAGCCACTAGGTGTGTTGGTTTTGGGGCCTCTTAGGAGCTCCAGTGCAGGCCCAGGTCTGCCACTGCCTGTGCTCAGTTGGGGATTATCTGGTAGGAACTATAAAGTGATCTACGGTTGGTAACTGCCTGTGCTGGACTTGGAGGTGCCTGGAGACACTGTGCTATGAACTAAGGCTGGCTGCCACTAGTGTTGGGGGCCACGTAGCAGGAGGTGCAGGGCTTTGGATTTGTGGACCTTCGAGAGATTTTTAGGAAAGTCTGCAGTGTGGGCTGAGGTAGGCAGTTTGTGAGGAACAACTGCTAACAGAGGTTCAAACCAGGTGCTTGAGTTCGGTGGGGTGGGGTCTCAGAAAATCACCAGGGTGTGGCTAGAGTGGTATTAACCAGGCTAATGGAGACTCAGATATGGTGCCATCTGTGCCTGCTGGCTGTGTTAGAGGAGTGATCAACCAAGTAATAATGCCACCTGCCAGCACTTCCATGTCAGAGAGAGCTGTCTTTCCAGCCCTCCCCCTGAAGCCAGACAATTCAGTCCCGCCCCACATGTCCCTGTAGCTGTTCAAGCTGCGAGCATTTGTGGGCAAGTGGGTCTGTGCTCACGCCCTTTAAGAGGAATGTCTGAGTCCTCAGTAGCCCTCCACCTCAACTGGACGGAATCCCTGCTGGTTTTTACAGTTATTGTGGGGACACCTTTTCTTGATACCGGTGCTCTAGGCTGGGAGCCCTGAGGGGAGCCTCCACACCCAAGCTAGGCCTTCTGATTCTTAACCACCACATGTGGCAGGGGACCAGCCCTTTCCAAGCCTCTGCCTTTCTTATCAGTCTCCATGTGGCTTCTTTTTTTATATCCTTAATTATAGGAGTTCTGTTCAGCTAGTCTTCAGGTGGTTCTCAAGGGTAGTTGTTCTATAATTTAGTTGTAATTCTGATGTAGTTGTGGGAGGAGGGGAGCACAGGGTTTACCTAAGCCACCATCTTGACTGGAAGTCCAGGCCCTGGTGATTCTTTAGCTCACCACACTATAAGAACTCTTCCTTCATGCTAATTATTTTTATAAGATTCATTATTCCCCTCCTCCTCCTCCTCCTCCTCCTCCTCCTCCTCCTCCTTCTTCCCCTTAATTGTATCACAAAGATTTCATTTATATCTATCTTCAGATTGCATGATATGTATTAGATGTTGAACTGAAGAATTCAGCAACCATTTCAGCAAATATTCCAGTATCTATTATATGTAAGCTACAGATCTATACTTTCTTGACCTGAAAAAGATAAGAAAAGCTGAATTCCCTAACCTTTGTCCCTCTCTTAACCACTTCCACGTAGGGCTTTATTCATAGTCAACACCAAGTGTAAAACTGAAGGAGTGTCTTGCTTTTTATACATTGTGTCTCTGATGTTTATAGAGAAACTGCATTTATGTATTCCTGCACAAAGTTTAGTAGAGAGTCTCCTTTTTGGCTCTTGTATTAGGATGCTGTTCCTTGTATATGACCAATATTTATGTAGAATTATGTCTCTCTACATATTATATATACATACATATGCATATATCTTTATATATGAATCTGCATATACATGACTCATATCATAAGATTTTCTCCTATGTCAAGAGCTTTAGCCCAATGACAGAAGATCAATTTTCTTAAAATTTCACTGTTCTGTGATGACTGTTGGGTTAATGGTAGACCCTGGGCCACATTCCTATCACTTTCTCTGAGGACTCTACATTGATCTTGAAGTGGGCATACACAGCCCCCTGAGCATGGTCATGGCAGGCCCATGTCCCTGCCGTGTGAACTACAGGTTGAATGTTGGTTGCAGGTTCTCTCTCACTCCCCAACTCCATTCTCAGGCTGCAGAGGTAGATGATACTATTTGCTATGGAAATGTAGCCCTCTGTGGTCAGAATCTGCCATTAAATGTGATTTCGCAGGACCTGCTTCCGTCCTCCTGGTCATCTCATCAATAGGAAATTCTCTGTTCCCCCTTATCCAGGGCCCACAGAGAATACCAGTCTGTGCATGAGGGGGACTGGTCTAGAAACAGATAGAGCACGAGATTCACCCCATAAGCCACTGAAACTGTAGCGTAGGGTGGAGTCACTCCCACACAGATGGTGGCTGTTGTCCCTTATAACCCTTTCCTTACAGCCTTTGGAGAAATGTAACTAAACATTCCCTAAGAACTTAAAAACTCAGAAATTCTAGGTCCTCAAAAGATTGTGCTTTTCAAAACCTTTGAGTTAAATATTTGTATAGCACTTTGCAATTTACAAAGTGCTTTTCACTTACATAATTTTAAGTAACAATATCCTCAAACACTCCAATTGGCTTTTATTTTTAAGGGGGAAATCTAGGTTTCCATCAACTCAACAAGCAAGATAACAGTGCACAATGAGAGCTTTTAAGGGTCTGTAGAATTATCAGTTCAAAGAAACAACAGTCTCCCTTAATACAGCCAGACTCAAGTAACACTTGATCTGTCATTTTCTTTTGATACTTATTGCTGATCTTTCATAGCCTTACTTGTTTACATGCCTTATCTCACTAGATTTGAAGTCCTATAAGGTAAGATCTCTATGGGATTTTTACTTGCACCATTCACAGTTCCAGGAGACCCCACAGGCCCCAAATTGTCACTTGTTGAATGAATGAGTGAATGAAAGTGAATGATTATAACCATTTCAAATTAATCTTCTGGATTTTATTTGGATTATATGAAGAAAAACCCTCAAGGAAGAAAGTTAAACTAGAGACTTGAAGAAAAACTATCTTCCAGTGGTCCCAGATTGTAAGAGGGATGTCTGATTGCGGGTTTAGGCCCGATCCCATAGGAGTCTAGATTGGAGAGGGTGCAGGCCAGGCTGAGGGACATCCCCTTCCCCATGCATGAATTTCGTGCACTGGGCCACTAGTAACTAATAAAAGGCTAGTGAATTCTTTCAGAAAAAAATTGTTTAAGGCTCCAAGGGGTTTATATTTACTAACTGGCAAATACTAAATCAGCAAGAGCCCAGAGCTTGCTTATCAATCAACCTTTCCTCTTTGTTTATACCAATTAACAACGTAGGTTGTTTTTTTTTTCTTTCCCTCCAAAGCATGATGATCAACTAACAAAGAATTGCAGAAACACACGGGAATATGAAAAAGGCACACACAGCACAAACTCCCTTTTCCCCAGATATTTTTTAACCAACCCCTCAGCCTAGAGATGGACTCTAGAATAGATGTTTGTACGTTTGTGTGTATGTGTACATTGGACAAATAGGAAAATAAGGTCAGCCCAAACACTATGTGTAGGCATGAATAAATACAAAACGAAATTTCAAGTTTGTCTTTATATTTAAACGACACAAAGAAAACTACATACAATAAATACTAGTATACCCTTTAAAGGAGGGCCAACAAATCAGGAACGCCAGCCAACTGAGCCAGAGTGAGTGGAGGAGCAAATGGAAATTTATCTCTGCAGGAGAAACATACCACCAGAACTGCCCAGTCTGGCTGAGGAGGGGGCGTGCCCCCCCTTTTCAGATAATGTGAATATAGGGGATTGTGTGTGTGTGCGCGCGCGCGAGGCTGGCTCCTGACTTGGGGAGCGGCGGGGGCGCGCAGCCCAGGCCCGCGGAGCGCAGGGCCGGCCGCCACCGGCCGGGAGGGCGCGTGGGGCGGACGTTGAACGACCGGGCGCGCGGTCAGGTGACTCCGGGCGCCACGTTCCCCGGGGCCCAGCCGGCGGTGGCCACTCGGGCCGGGCTGGGGCCAGGGCCCAACTGGGAGGCGAGAGGGGCCGATCGCCCGAAACAAAGTTGCTGGGCTGGTGGCGGCGGGGCACGGGAGGAGCCGGGGAGCTGGAGCGGCAGCGGCCGGCGCACTGGACCTGCCCGGCCTCCCCTTCCTCCTCCTCCTCCTCGGGAGACCGCGCCCCGGGGCGCCCAGCGGCGAGCCGGTTCCCAGGAGGGCGCCACGGAGCGATCCCGCGCCCCACCCTTCCTCCCCGGCCTCCAGCCTCCGCTCCAACAAAGGGGCCGGCCCGCGGGCGGGGAGCGCGGGGAGGAGGAGGAGCGGGAGGGGCGAGCCGCTCGCCCGAAGTTGGGGAGTCGCCCGGCCTGGGCGGCGGAGGGAGAGCGGGCGGCCGCAGCCTGCCTGCCGCGGGCTTTCTCCCGCCGCGGGCGAGGGGAAGCCCGGGGCTCCCGAAGCCGATCGGGGGGATCACCGGGAGCCGCGGCGCCCCCCTGCTTTGGGGTCGTTTCTGCAGGCGGAAAACTCTCCGGTGTTTGGCAAACTTGGTGCCTCCGCGCCGGTTCCAGGTTTGCACCGGGACTGTTTTGTTTTTGGCGGAACTACTGCTGGCCAGGAAGATTGCACAAGCCAGGGGCAGTTTTAATCGGGTGTCAGAATTCTTACTCCCTTTCGGACCTCGTTTAGGTCTCTACATTTCTTTTTTTCTTTATTTCTTTTGTTGTTGTTGTTGTTGAAAGTTGCACCCAGAACTCACGCTTGCACACATCCTCCCAAACTCCCCCTGCACCCCCGCGATTACTACGACTCGAAACGAGCCCTGGGCCGCCGGGAGCGGCGGCGGCTGGCAGGCGCGGCGGGCGCGGGTCACGGAGCAGGTAAGTGCATGCATTATTGAGGCGCCGCGCCGGTAAGGGGACCCAAGCCCCGGGGAGACGGGAGGACGAAGGGCTTCCCTGAGGTTCCTGCGCCCGGGATCCGCGTCCGCAGCTCCTTCTCCAGCCCGAGGCTGCGATGTAACCAAGTTTGGCGTACACTTTCCTGGGGACCCGAGTTCTGCGACGCTGGGGCGGAGCAGAGAAGGACTGAAACTTGGAGCAAGGAGGAGGTCCCATGGGGATCCGTTTAGTAGGGGAAGATCCTCACTCCCCCGACAGTTCCGGGCTGAGAGTCCCGCATCCGTGCGCCGCGCGGCCAGGGCGCAGGGCCGGTGATCCCCGCCGGGAGGGGACGTGGCCGGTCACACCCGCCCCGGCCGGGGAAGGCGGGGCCGGAGGTGTCCTCTCCGAGAGGGTGGCGTGTTCGGCGGGCCGGGGAGCAGTTCCCAGCCGTCTGCCTGGCAGGAAACGTGTGGGACCTCCGGGCCAGCGCTGCTCGCGAGGGTGGGGCTCCGGAGAGGGGTCGGTGCGAGGTCCCGACTCTTGGCATCTCCTGCAGCCGGTAAGGTCCTTCATGCCCTACCTTTGGCCCCGGATCCGAGGCTCTGGTTGTCCAAGGCCACTTACAAACTCCCTCCCACCCCCCTCCAAAGCACCGATTTTAGGCTGTGCAACTTTTACAAGGCACGCTGTTAAAGGGGATCCCCCCAAGCCCCTAGACCTGGAAAGGGACTTGTTCTAGGGAGGGAGAAAATCGTGCCTGACCTAGAGCCCGCGGACCCGCAATTTGTTTTGCAAAGAACAAGAGCCCGGGGTCCAAACTGGCTCTGAGGGCTCCCCTGTCTGGGACGTCCCGGGACGAGCCTCCCTTTTCCCAGCCACCTGCTCGCCGGGATCACCAGGGGCTCCGGGTCAGTTTCCCCAGGGGTATCGGTGGAACCGTAGCTGTGTCCCCGAGGGCACAAGTTTGATGGAGTCCCAGACCTGCCTGGAGCTCCCGCCTCTCGGCCTGGCGACAGCAGCCGCATCCACAGCCTAGTCAGTTGCAGGGCCTCCGGAGGGCGGGTTGGCCGCCCGGCTGGTTGCCGGTGGGCGTGGGGGCCGCCGTCGGCGGGCGGACAGGGCTGCGGGCCGGCGGAGCTGGAGGAAGGCAAAGGTGCTCCTGGGGGCTTCAGCCTCCAGAGTTCCCAGGTTTACGCAGTCGTTCCCCTTATTTATGGGCCCGAGGAGACAGCTCTTTAACTTTCCTTTGGGTGTTTTACATGCAATTTATTGCCCTGTAAACAGTATTAATCACTGTAGTGTTCACCTTCCCTTGGAGCACTTGCGAGAGTGAATGGCAGCTCCTGGCGCTGGGTGGTGTCTTTTATTTACTATGGATCTAGCCTAGCGGCAGACTCCTTCCTTTCCCTGGGTAACTCCAGCTAGGGTTGTGGTCCCCAGTGTGAATGAATGAATACTTTTTTGCCCAAGGATCAGCATCACATTTCCATCAACATCATACATTATTGAACGTATTTGTATCCTTACGTTGCTTAATTCCCATGTTATTTTGAAATTAAAGACTCCCCAGGAAGGCCATCCCCTATCCTTTCACCCAGCTTGGTTTATGGACACACACTCATGGTTTCAGGTCCATACGACAGCCAGCCATGTTCCCAGGGAAATGTGGGTGAACCGTGAGTGGAGTGTGTTGGTTTCAGCGAGAAGACCTGGCTAACCTTTGCGAACATCCTTATCAGGGCACAGAAACATAGAGCAATGGTAACAGTACATTACATATAAATAACGGTAACTAGTAACAATAAAGGGAAAGGGCTTAAAACTTCTAAAGCAATACCCCATTCATTTCTTCTGTTTCTCAGCCAGCTGTGTATGGAAGATGGCCTTCCCTCCGTGTCACAGATGTGAAAACGGAGGGCCACCTTAAGGCACATTGTTAGTGATGAAACTTCCATTCTGTCTCCTGACCACCAATTATAAACCACTTCAGCATTTATCGATTTAGAGCAGTGGTCCTCAACCTTTCTAATGCTGCAACCCTTTAATACAGTTTCTCATGTTGTGGTGACCCCCAACCATAAAATTATTTTTGTTGTTACTTCATAACTGTAATGTTGCTACTGTTATGAATAGTAATGTATGTGTGTTTTTCGATGGTCTTAGGCTCTACAGCTGTGGTTCTCAGCCTGTGGCTCATGACCCATAGGATGAGAACCATGAGCCAATATTAATGTGAAAAAGAAAGTCCTATATAAATAGTCCACTTTTTTTATGGAGTAGGGTAGGTCTCTGGGAAGCTTTGAAGTGAAGACCTTTGGCTAAAACCAGTTATGGAGAGCATTAGAAATACTTCTCAAAGGGAATAGTTACTTTCCGGTTAAGAGAATTTTGTTGGGCAAACTTGATTTTCTGTAATAAAATTTTATATGCATTCCTCTGAACAAGCTTTTTGGTTTTTGAATATTATAAAATACACTTAAGAATTCAGCAAATCTTTGCAGGAATGTACCCCCAGAAAAAAATGTAACCACATAATAACACATAAAGTTTTAACAGTAGTAGAGAAATATAAAAAATATAAAACTTTTTTATGTTCCTAAATTTTGGGAGACTTATGACCCACAATCCACATTTTCCTCCCTACTGAAGAGTAAATTGTTTCTACAACTTTAGGAATATACCACAGTTTTCATCTGCTTCAACTCTTTAATACAAAACTTTTTTTCTAAGATAATTTTGATCTTTTTATTACTATAACACACCCTTTTTCTGACTGATAAGGATAAAACTATAACAATTATTACATATTTATATTATTATGAAATAACATGACGTTTCCTTGAATATTACATATCATAAAAGTCTTCTCTCTGTATAAAAGCCTAAGTGACCCTTATGACCAGTTGACAGGACTGGTTGATGGTTGCTATGATGCGCATTGACCACCAGGGGGCAAACATTCAACTCAGGAGCTGCCCCCTGGTGGTTAGTGCGCGGCTCCAAAGGGCCCTTATTGGGACTGGGTGAGATGGCCCTGATCAGCCCTGCTTGCTGCTCAGGCTGAGGGACCCCACCCATGCACAAATTTGTGCACAGGGCCTCTAGTAATATATAAAATAATAGTACATAAATATACAAAATGAAATATATTATAAAATAACTTTATATTATATAAAATACTATATGATGCATCCTTGAGTTAAAAAATTGAGGTGTCTAATCCTCACTAGCAGTAAATTCTGGTTCTGATATGTGTTGTAATATTGGTATGTGAATTATCATCCATTTTTCACAGGTTAATATTTGGATGTGTTGCCTGTTATAGTCCTAATGAAATGATTACTTTATTTAATTTGCATTTGGGGTCTGCTTAAGGGACTCTTAGGAGAGAGCCAGCTGCTGATTGAATTCTGAATCTGTCTGGGTTTTGGGGGACAATGTGTTCCAGAAGGTTTTAGGGCAATGCAATAGTCTGATATTCTATCTATTTATTTATTTATTTTATTTTAAAAAAATATATTTTATTGATTTTTTTACAAAGAGGAAGGGAGAGAGATAGAGAGCTAGAAACGTCAATGAGAGAGAAACATCAACTAGTTGCCTCTTGCACACCCCCTACCGGGGATGTGCCCACAACCAACGTACATGCCCCTGATCGGAATCGAACCTGGGACCTTTCGGTCCGCAGACCGATGCTCTACCACTGAGCCAAACCGGTTTCAGCAATAGTCTGATATTCTTAAAGAAAAGGTGGCGTAAGACAGAATCTTTAGTTTTTTAAATTCTAAAGAAGTTCATGACTAATTAATTACTAAAGATTAATACTATTTTGTTGAATGATATCTGTACCCAGCAGAATTAATATGATGTACCTTCTAAAATGACATAACATATAACTATTCAGATTTATATCTAACTCAAACTATACCTGAGATCAGACCTGTATACCCGACTGCTTTTTGTTATTTCCACGTATATATTTCAGAAGCACCGCAACCTCAGCAAATCCAAACCACTTTCATTATTTGTTCCTGCAGAGGCTTATCCTCCAGAACTCCCCAGCTCAGTAAATGACCCCCCCTCTACTCAATTGTGCAAAACAAATTGGGTGTTCATTTTGTCCCTTAGTACCCCGAGCCTCTCATATCCAACCAGTTCCCAAATCCTATGCACCTTCTTTTCTTAGTCTTTAAACATCCCACATATCCACCCGTTTCTTTCCATTTACCCTGGTTTAGGCCGCAAACATTTTCTGTCTGTAATACTACACTAGAAAAATATAAGACTAAACACCCATCTATTCTTCAACTACATTCCCCACTTATCAGTTTCCAATATTTCATATGTCTCTCTCTCTCTCTCTCACTCTGTGTATGCATGTGTATATTTGTGTATATTTAAACATAGACATATAGATAGACATATACAGACACACATATATGTGATATATATATATATATATATATATATATATATATATACACCTTATTGAACTTAAGTTGAAGGTATTATCATGCTTCATTGCTAACTATTTCATCTACAGTCAGACATTTCCTTGCATGACACAACCATTTACCAAAATTAAAGAAATTTAACACTGATACAATAATATTGTCTAATATTGTCTAATATATCGCCCGAATTCAGATTTCCCAAGTTATCCCAAAATGTGTATTTTGAAAATTCTGAATTCAATCAAGGATTACCTAATTAAATTCTTCTCATCTTTTGAAAACATGGCTCAAATGTCACTTCTTCAAGGAAGCATTCTCTCATTGCCCAGGGCAGGTTAGATTGCCCTGCTCTGTTATGCTGTGTGTCTCCTTTGTATGTTTGTACATATCAGCATAATTAATTATATACTTAACCACTTAGTCTCTGTAAACTTCATGATGGCAGAAGCTATGTCTCTTTTTGATAGTCATATCCCCATTCCCCATTTATATCTGGAAGTTGAAAGGATTATATGCCTTATACATAGCAGGCACTGAGTAAATATTTCCTGAATAAATGGTGACAATATATAACTGTATATGATTATATATATTAAATGTGTGAATATCTATTTTTTAAAAGTATATTTTATTGATTTTACACAGAGAGGAATTGAGAGGGACAGAGAGTTAGAAATGTCGATGGGAGAGAAACATCCACCAGCTGCCTCTTGCACACCCCCTACTGGGGATGTGCCCGCAACCAAGGTACATGCCCTTGACCGGAATCAACCCGGGATCTTTCAGTCCGCAGGCTCTATCCAGTGAGCCAAACCCGTCTCGGCGAATATCTATTTTTTTTAAGTCCATACTTTCCCTTTTCTCTTTAGGTATTGATGCCTTAAAAAAAAAAAAAAAAAAAAAAAAGGAGGATTTAGTAAAGTGTTTGGATTTTACTGAAACTCAGCGAAGATGGCCAAGTATGGAGAACACGAGGCCAGGCCTGATGATGGGCAGAATGAGTTCAGTGACATCATTAAGTCCCGATCTGGTAAGTAATGGGAGCCTAAGAAAATGTCAGGTTTATATGCATAAACTACTTAAAAGACATAGGTTTTGTTTTGTTTTTGGCTTGTGTTGCACTGTTCTTGTGAGACAAATTTCTTTTGAGAAATAGAATTCTGACAAAGGAGTATTATATTATAAAAGGTAACATAGTGTCTCTGTCTGTCCTATCTGAATTTCTCAACCCAGTTTGACCTCATCCTGTGCTGACTGGCATTGTTTAGTTACACTGCGACCAGCAGTTGAATGCTGTTCATTTACCAGACTTATCTCCTTGAACACAAAAATATAGCTAGGCATGTTTTCCCTTTTCAGCCTACTTTATGAAGTTGAAAGGATTATATGCTTAAAGTAGGAAATACCGTTGTTTCTGGCAGGATGGATCTTCTATAGTTTTGCTTTGATCACATATCCTCACCCCGATTCCTTTCGGTGGCCAGGGGTAGGCCTACAGGTTTCTTAACTTTGCTTCCATCTTTGAAATTTCTTATGAACCTTCTCAAGGCACAGTTTTCACCTACGCAATCTAATAAACCAGACTAAGACAGATGAATGGTTTTTCATCTGAACATTTAAATTAGGGACCTAAGATACCCCTCTCCTCCCCAGTCTTTTAATGTAACCAAGCAATTTTTTGCTCTCACTGTTCAAATGAATCAACTGGGGAGATTTTTTTTTTTTTTTTAATGCAAATGCACTGGTTCCTCTCTCTACACACTGAATAATAAATTCAGTATTTTAAAAAAGCTTCAAATATGATTTTGAGACAGGCTCTAAGGGGAGATATTTTTGAGTAGGCTGGGCTTGTTTGAGCTTTGAAAATTACACAGAACTCTACCCTGGGTGTGAACACTATACTTAAGTAACCTTGAGAGTTAGTCTCAGGCATAAAATTACAACCAGTGTCACTTTAAGGTAAAAAAAGGAATATACAGCCTGTTTTGCTCTGTGTATCATGTTTATATTATATTAGGAGCTTATTTCTCAGTACATGAAACTGCAGAAATACGCACTGAAAATCAGCTCTAAATTAATAGACATACACACTTAAGATACACATTTCTTTCTGTGGTACTGGTATTGGTTGATTGGTAAAGATTTTGGTTATAACAGTTTTGGCTCTAAATTTGTAGCAACTGCTGTGGAGCTCCAAGGATCTTTAGGTACATAACAGCTTACTATCCTGTTTTAAACATCTGAGAATGCCTTTTCCTCTAATTTTTTAAAAACATTTTAGTAATATAAAATATTATGCAGATATAAGAGGTTACTAATATTTTCTTATAGAATGTGTATCCAGACTATGTAAATGTAACACAGAGGAAAGTGAAAGTGAGACAATTTAATATATCCATGATGGTCATGTTCTATAAATTATAAGGAGATATATTCTTAAATAGTTATCTGAGTCAACCGCTATTACAGTAAGACCTTTGATATTTATAACTATGTGCTTTAACCATGCCCATAAAAAGTAATTGAGCAGGTTTCGAAATGCTAAGTATATATGATGAGTACACATAGCTTCCACACTGTTTTTTTTTTTTTTAAATTAAAAATTATCATTTAGAAAGACTTACCATTCTCATACACTGTTGGGGGACAGTTGGGCAGAAATTATTGTATGTTTTTAACGTGTATACCAACTAGCCCATTAACTCTATTTTTAGAGTTATTTCCTAAAATACACAGAAATGCACAAGCAAGAAGTTGATCACAACATTTTTATAGTAGGAAAAATTGGAAACACCATAAAAATACAGTATTGAGGACTGGTTAAGTCATAAGTTCTAATTAAAAAAGGATGCCATGGACAAAGAATTTTAGGAAATAGTGGTTAGCCTACTCTGTTCATTTGGTGTAGGGCCTCTGAACTAATTGTAGAGAATCTCAGTGGAGTTAATTAGGTTAAGTATATTCATAAAGCAGAATAATATACATTCATAATATGTTATTGATATGTATAAATATAAGCATAGAAATGTGTTTTTGACATTGTCAAGTAAAAATATGAATTCAGTTATGTGAAAATTACTTTTTAAAACAATTTAACAGGTTGTACACTACAATGTTAATAGTGTTAACCTTGGCATTTTGGGATTATTATTTCTCTCTTTTTGCTCGTATGTATTTTCCAAAATTCTTTAATGAGCTTTTATTACTTAGTTCTTATTTTTAAAAACTCTCAAATTGCTTAGAGTGTTTCAATGCCAAGGCTCTGACATTTTTTTTTGCTTGGTGGCACCTACTTAAAACACATTGAAAAGTTAGCTGTTGCATAGCTGAGATATGAATCACATTCTTTTGGCTGGATTATGTTGCAAGAGCCAGTAGATAAATTTGGATTTGAATGAGCCTGTTAGTCCCAATTCTGCTTTCTGGAAGGCACAGTTTTGATTCTTTTAAGGTAAATATTAGTATACAGTAGTAATGTCTTTTGGTATACCAAAAAAGTACATATTGAATAGGTACTTTTAGTTCAGATTAATTCAAAGGAATCATCCACATATAATGCACTTTTATAAAAAGATTTTTCTGGGACATGTTCTGTACTTAGTTGTTGCTTTCTCATTGTTTTAAAGGGATGTTTTCCGATGGAAGAATTTTTGATCTAATCTGCTTCTCTAGATTTTTTCCTTTTGGAGATTGTATATGAGGGAGGGAGAAAAGATTAGGTTGGAAAAAACTAAAGTTGAGAGTAAATTGATCAATTTAATCTCTTGGTTTATCAAGATTCTTCCTTTCTCACTCCTTCCCAAATAAACACACACACACACACACACACACACACACACACACACACACACTGAGTGGCGAGATTTTTATGCGTTCAGAGATCATAATAATCTGGCCACTCAGTGTATGGCCCCATATATTTCTTTATGGTTGTACCACATTTACCTTAGATTTGAATGAACATTAGAAAAGAACTTGAAATAATATGATCTTTAATTATTAAGAGCTTGGGGTGTGGTAAATGTACACTTGTCTTTTCCTAACTTAAACACACCTACGTCATTTGTCATCAGTACCTGCATCTTTGACAGCCTGGATTAGTGGGCTTCAGAAAGCTTACCAACTTAGTAAATATTGTGAGAGAGTAGGCCAAGATATAGAGTTGTTTGTTTTTAATGGAAACATATAGCCAACGGAGTGTGTGATGTGTACATTTGTGTTTGGAACATTTTAAACATGAAATAAGACAATGGTTTGGGATGCATGTCAAGTCAAAGAATATGCTCATTGCTACTTCATCCTATCAATAGTTAACACATGTTAAAGCTGGTAATATAGAACAGGGCATCCTTTTCTGTTGTTCTCAGTTTTCTTGTGGTTAAGTTTTAACCAAGAGCCTCCTAACGAGAGTAGCTCTCAGGGCTAAAGACAGAGTGTCAGCTGGCTACCTGTGGGGATTTTGACAATCTGGGGATTCGAATCATATGGGAAGGGGCCATGCATTGAATGAGTTAGTCAGGTAAATGCCACATTGTTGCATGATTCAATTCATTCTGTAAGTACCTTGGGTAGGAAGCCTGCATCTAACAATCTTACCCTTTCTTCTTCCACCTTTGGGGATCTAATTGCTGAGAGAATTTTAGAGGCCATCTAACTCGGCCATGCCTGCAAGGTGGTTACCCAGCCTCTGCTTGCTCACCTCCAATAATGTTATCTCATTGGTGATGATGATGAGGAGGATTCTAGCAATTTAAATTTATTGAACACAGACTCTGTGCAGATGTGGTGTCAAGAGTTTCATCCTCACAACTACTGTTTTTACAGATGACAAATGTGAGCCATACAGAAGTAATCCACTGGCCTTCCTTCTAGTTCTCCAAAGGCCCAGTTGTGCTGATCTCAGGGCCTTTGCACATCCCTTTTACACCTGTCTTTGTGTTATGGGCTCCTTGTTAGCATCTAGATTTAGACAAAAATGCAATGTTTGAGAGAACTTTCTAGATAGATCTTTAGAAAGTAGGTCTCCCTTGCCCAGCTAGAGTGGCTCAGTTGGTTGAGTGTCGCTCTGTGCATTGAATGGCTGCTGGTTAGATTCTGGGTTAGGGCACATACTTGGGTTGAGGTTTTGAGGAAGGTAATCGATCCATATTTCTCTCTCACATTGATGTTTCTCTCTCTCTCTCTCTCTCTCTCTCTCTCTCTCTCTCTCTCTCTCTCTCTCTTTCTCTCTCTCTCTGTCTGTCTCTCTTAGAAGCATGTCCTATTGGCGAGGATTAAAAAAAAAGTAGCTCTCCTGGTTACTCTTACTCTTTTTTTTTTTTTTTAAATATATTTCATTGATTTTTTACAGAGAGAAAGAGTGAGGGATAGAGAGTTAGACATCAATGAGAGAGAAACATCGATCAGCTGCCTCTTGCACACCCCCTACTGGGGATGTGCCCGCAACCAAAGTACATGCCCTTGACTGGAATCGAACCTGGGACCTTTCAGTCCGCAGGCCGACACTCTATCCACTGAGCCAAACCGATTTTGGCTCCTGGTCAGTCTTGACTGCATCAGAATATTTAAAATTTCTCTATGTTCTTAACTCTCTTGGAACTCTTCTTGTTTTGTGTATTTATTAATGTACTTCCCACTAGAATTTGATTCCAGAGGTGCAGAGACCAAACTGCTAGCTCATAGTAGGTGAGCAATGAGTGTTTATTCGATGAAAAAAGGCTTACAAAGCTAGAAAGTGCCAGACCTGGGATTAGAGCTCAGGAGATCTGATTACAGAAACCTTGCATTTGACCTCACATAGTGCTGAGTCTTCTAGTTTACAAGGTCGTTTATTTTGTTGCTTGTGGAATTCTTTTATATTGGGAGCTTAAATCTGTTGCTTACAAAGTTTTCACAAATGAGTTGGATTTATACATGCCTCTGCCTCTTCCTTTATGGTGACCAAGATCGGGACTCCAGGCTGTGAGGGAAAGCCTTCCTGGGCCCCCAATGGTCATCGTAGTGCTGCCAAGGGAGGGCCGAATTGTAGGA